TATTGTTTTTTATACTTTATTATTATTATTATTACAGCATATTTATAGTGCACCCTTTCATATAACATGTTCAGAGGCACTTTACAAAGTGACAATGTAAATCACACATAAACAACAAGATTATGGGCATGTTAACGATTGTATACAGAGTCAGTTAAAAGCCTGATTAAATAAATGTGTTTTAAGTTGTTTTTTAAAAGAATACAGAGATGTACAACATCTTAAACTAAATGGTAGATTATTCCATAAAACAGGTGCTTGATAACTATTGTCGTCGCCCCTGTCCGTCCGTCCACAATTGTTTGTGAACAGTCTACAGGTCACAATTTTTATCCGATTTCAATGAAACTTGAAATATAGTTTTATCACCCTAAGATCTCGGTTCCTTTCGATATTGGCATCTATCGGACCGTAACTTCATGGATTATGGCCCCTGATTGTACGAAAAATCACGTTTTTGGCTTGTGAACACTGTAGAGGTCACAATTTTTATCCGATTTTGTTGAAACTTGAAATGTAAGTTTATAACCCAAAGATCTCGGTTGCTTTAAATATTCGCGCATATCGGATTGTAAGTTCCTGAATTATGGCCCCTGATTGTACGTAAAAACGCGTTTTTTGGCTTGTGGACCCTATACAGGTCATAATTTTTATCCGATTTAAAAAAACGTATTACAATATCACCGTTAAAGCCTAAGGATGGTTGAATTCGAATTTCGTGAAAATCGGCCCAAAACTGACAGACAAAATGGCCGCCGTTCGTTCTCAAATAGCGTAAAAATATGGTATATCAAGGTTGTGGACCCTATAGAGGTCACAATTTTGATCCGATTTTTATACACTTGAAAAGTAAGTTTATAACCCAAAGATCTCGGTTCCTTTCGATATTTGCGCATATCGGACCGTAACTTCCTGAATTATGGCCCCTGATTGTACGTAAAAACGCGTTTTTTGGCTTGTGGACCCTATACAGGTCATAATTTTTATCCGATTTAAAAAAACGTATTACAATATCACCGTTAAAGCCTAAGGATGGTTGAATTCGAATTTCGTGAAAATCGGCCCAAAACTGACAGACAAAATGTCCGCCGTTCGTTCTCAAATAGCGTAAAAATATGGTATATCAAGGTTGTGGACCCTATAGAGGTCACAATTTTTATCCGATTTTTGTCCCCCGCCTTTCGAAGAAAGCAGGGGACTATTAAAATGGGTTCGTCTGTCTGTCTGTCTGTCTGTCCGTCTGTCTGTCCGTCCGTCTGTCTGTCCGTCACACTTTTTGGGACACAATAACTCTCTTCCTAATTGAGCTAGAATGTTCAAACTTGGTGTATGTGTTTATTAGGTCAATGCCTTGATGGAGTTCGAAGATGAGCATTTTCCGCTTAGGGTAAGCAGAGATAAGCAATTTGATTGGTTGATGCTTTGGGACACGATAACTCTCTTCCTAATTGGGCTAGAATGTTCAAACTTGGTGTATGTGTTGATTAGGTCAATGCCTTGATGGAGTTCGAAGATGAGCATTTTCCGCTTAGGGTAAGCAGAGATAAGCAATTTGATTGGTTGATGCTTTGGGACACGATAACTTTTAATTGAGCTAGAATGTTCAAACTTGGTGTATGTGTTTATTAGGTCAATGCCTTGATGGAGTTCGAAGATGAGCATTTTCCGCTTAGGGTAAGCAGAGATAAGCAATTTGATTGGTTGATACTTTGGGGCACGATAACTCTCTTCCTAAGTGAGCTAGAATGTTCAAACTTGGTGTATGTGTTGATTAGGTCAATGCCTTGATGGAGTTCGAAGATGAGCATTTTCCGCTTAGGGTAAGCAGAGATAAGCAATTTGATTGGTTGATGCTTTGGGACACGATAACTTTAGTTCTAATTAAGTGAGATTGATGAAACTTGGTGTATAGTTTCATTACAGTAATACCTTGACTAAGTTTGATAATGAGCATTTTCTGCTCAGGGTAAGCAGAGCGATACGCAATTTGATTTTTATATGTGTCCTCTAATTATTTTCCTATTTCGGCGGGGGACATCAGCCTCACTGTTGGCTTGTTATACACTTGAAAAGTAAGTTTATAACCCAAAGATCTCGGTTCCTTTCGATATTTGCGCATATCGGACCGTAACTTCATGAATTATGGCCCCTGATTGTACGCAAAAACGCTTTTTTTTGCTTGTGGACCCTATAGAGGTCATAATGTTTATCCGATTTAAAAAAAAACGTGTTATTATATCACCGTTACACCTTAAGGACGGCTGAGTTCGGATTTCGTGAAAATCGACCCAAAACTGACAGACAAAATGGCCGCCCTTCGTTCTCAAATAGCGTAAAAATATGGTATATCAAGGTTGTGGACCCTATAGTAGGGTGACCCACCATAAATAAATATCTCCATATATCTCCATATATCTCGACAATTACGCCACAATATTTATATATATGCCAAGCTTCCAATCAGTTTCACAAAATTTTAGTCACTAAATAAACTATCATGTTGTACTTAATAAGCTATGCCCATTAATCATCTATAAATAATAGACTGAAAACTGGTTCCAAGTGTCGTCCATAACATCCAGACACTTTTGAGTAAAAGATAGGTTACGTGCCCGTGTTTTGAAATTAGTCTTGCTTAACCAGTCTATCGACCATTCTACGTCTGATTGACAGGTCGGGATAATCAAGACTACTTTTTTACGAAACATAACAGAAAGCTAGAACAAGAAATTGAATTTAGAAATAAGCACGTTAGGTAGCTCAACAATCGTTTTAAGAAGCTTGTAAAAGTAAAATGAAACTACTGCTAGTATCATGTTCCTGTCTAACCCGAGTGATTCAGAGATATTATTTGTACTAAACCAAAAGATGCCGCTCTTAACGGTACAGTTAATGATAAAGCGATTTAAAAATTGAAACGAACGTAATTTCTAAATCTGCTGTAATAACCAAGAAGCTTAATTTCACTGCTTTTCAAAATCGTCAACAATAATTTTTTTTACAGCTGTAATAGTTGATAGATTTGTAGAGAATTGCACGTGCCATGGCTATTTATAGTATCATACTGTCAGAAAGTTGGTCTCGGCACGGCGAATAGACACGCTTCAGTGGTAGTCTCGAACTATCAGCGGTGGACTGTATTTCTGTACAGTACATGGGTCAACCTACCTATAGAGGTCACAATTTTTATCCGATTTTGTTGAAACTTGAAATGTAAGTTTATAACACAAAGATCTCGGTTCCTTTCGATATTTGCGCATATCGGACCGTAACTTCATGAATTATGGCCCCTGATTGTACGCAAAAACGTCTTTTTTTGCTTGTGGACCCTATAGAGGTCATAATTTTTATCCGATTTAAAAAACGTTTTATTATATCACCGTTAAACCCTAAGGAGGGTTGAGTTTGAATTTCGTGAAAATCAGCCAAAAACTGACAGACAAAATGGCCGCCCCTCGTTCTCAAATTACGTAAAAATATGGTATATCAAGGTTGTGGACCCTATAGAGGTCACAATTTTTATACGCCCACATTTTCATGTTGACATATTATGCCGTCGCCCCTGTCCGTCCGTCCGTCCACAATTGTTTGTGGACACTCTACAGGTCACAATTCTTATCCGATTTTGATGAAACTTGAAATATAGCTTTATCTCCAAAAGATCTCGGCTGCGTTCAATATTGGCATGTATTGCATCGAAACTTCATGGATTATGGCCCCTGTTTGTACGAAAAATCACGTTTTTAGCTTGTGGACCCTATAGAGGTCACAATTTTTATCCGATTTTGTTGAAACTTGAAATGTAAGTTTATAACCCAAAGATCTCGGTTCCTTTCGATATTCGCGCATATCGGACCGCAACTTCCTGAATTATGGCCCCTGATTATACGAAAAATCACATTTTTAGCTTGTGGACCCTATAGAAGTCATAATTTTTATCCGATTTAAAAAAACGTTTTATTATATCACCGTTACACCCTAAGGACGACTGAGTTTGAATTTCGTGAAAATCGGCCCAAAATTGACAGACAAAATGGCCGCCGTTCGTTCTCAAATAGCGTAAGAATATGGTATATCAAGGTTGTGGACCCTATAGAGGACACAATTTTTATCCGATTTTTTTGAAACTTGAAATGTAAGTTTATAAGCCAAAGATCTTGGTTCCTTTCGATATTCGCGCATATCAGATCGTAACTTCCTGAATTATGGCCCCTGATTGTACGAAAAATCGCGTTTTTAGCTTGTGGACCCTATAGAGGTCATAATTTTTATCCGATTTAAAAAACGTATTATTGTATCACTGTTACACCCTAAGGACGAATGAGTTCGAATTTCATGAAAATCGGCCCAAAATTAACAGACAAAATGGCCACCGTTCGTTCTCAAATAGCGTAAAAATATGGTATATCAAGGTTGTGGACCCTATAGAGGTCACAATTTTTATCCGATTTTGTTGAAACTTGAAATGTAAGTTTATAACCCAAAGATCTCAGTTCCTTTCGATATTTGCGCATATCGAATTGTAATTTCCTGAATTATGGCCCTTGATTGTAGGAAAAATCACTTTCTTGTTAGCTTGTTCTCTATCCATCTCTCGAAAATGTGGGCGTATCCTGCCTGGCAGCCGCTGGTTATCCGATTTTGTTGAAACTTGAAATGTAAGTTTATAACTCAAAGATCTTGGTTCCTTTCGATATTTGCGCATATCGAATTGTAATTTCCTGAATTATGGCCCTTGATTGTAGGAAAAATCACTTTCGTTTTAGCTTGTTTTCTATCCATCTCTCGAAAATGTGGGCGTATCCTGCCTGGCAGCCGCTGGTCTAATTGGTGAACTACCAATATGTAATTTGTCTCAACACAAGTATTAATGGTTTTAAAAAAATTGATTATAAATAACTTGATGCTGTTTGAATTATCAACATTCTAAAATAAATGATTGTATTTAATATTTATTAATATTAAGTAAAATATTCTTTTTCATTAATTCTACTTTCTAGGTAATTTTACAGTACCTGGCTTGGATGTCATCAGACCAGACTATGAATATAATGTGTGGACAAAGCCTGATTGTGGTGGAACAGAACATGAGAATGGAAACAGGTACAATAGATGAATCTTGATAAACTTATTATAGAATCTTTTCTGGCATTGTCTGATAAATAGCCTCTCACAAACAAACATACATGTAATCCTTATAAGACATATAGAAGTAGATTTCAGGCCTTGAGATTTGACAGGCTCAAAATAGTGGACAATTTCATCCCTAATAGCATGGATGAATTCTCCCCCACGAAGCCCTGGTCGATATTAGATGACACGATCTCATCGTTTTTTTTTTTATTCTGGTGCAAAGTTATCCTCCGAGATATGGAATTATCAATTTAATGAGCGATTCTGAGGTGAAGAAACAAAAGCGAGGCTGGAAGGGAAACGTGAAATTTAGATCGGTTGTAAAAAATGCATAGATGCACATTTCTGCATATTTTATTCAAAACTGCCAAAACTATTTAAAAACATTGACAGTTATTTTTAAAATTACTTAAAAGAATATTAAACCAAAAAATATTCAAAATAAAGTGACGAAATGTAATCCTTTTGTCTCCATTAGAACCTCTATCTTATCTAACTCCAAAATTAGTAGCCAATCATAATTAGCGATTTACCGGTACAATCAACATGGCGGTGGATACGATGTAGTATTAATTATATATAATCTATCAAAGAGGGATTTGTTTGTTTCATATAAAATGTGATAGTAAATAACTAATACGCATATAAACTGAAATTTTTGGCATAATTTGTGATTGAAGCCCAGTATCGTTGTGTCAACGTTTAGTGGACTACCTACGGCACTAAACCGTAGCCCTCTCATCGAGATGTCAACACGTCGTAATCACCGTAATGTAAATGTAATTTGAGCTTGTCCCACCGTTCTAAAGCAAAACAATCAGTTCATGGAGCTGTCAAAATGTAATTGGACATACATATGATATGATGCTTTTTTTATACGGCCACATTTTCATGTGGACGTATATTGTCGTCGCCCCTGTCTGTCCGGATGTCTGTCCGTCCACAATTTGTTTGTGGACACTCTACAGGTCACAATTCTTATCCAATTTTGACGAAACTTGAAATATAGGTTTATCTCCAAAAGATTTTGGCTGCTTTCGATATTGGCATGTATCGGATAGAAACTTCATGGATTATGGCCCCTGTTTGTACGAAAAATCACGTTTTTAGCTTGTGGATCCTATAGAGGTCACAATTTTTATCCGATTTTGTTGAAACTTTATAAATGTAAGTTTATAACCCAAAGATCTCGGTTTCTTTCGATATTCGCGCACATCGGACCGTAACTTCCTGAATTATGGCCTCTGATTGTACGAAAAATCGCGTTTTTAGCTTGTGGACCCTATAGAGGTCATAATTTTTATCCGATTTAAAAAAACATATTATATCACCGTTACACCCTAATGACGGCTGAGTTCGAATTTTGTGAAAATCGGCCCAAAATTGACAGACAAAATGGCCGCCATTCGTTCTCAAATAGCGTAAAAATATGGTATATCAAGGTTGTGGACCCTATAGAGGTCACAATTTTTATCCGATTTTGTTGAAACTTGAAATGTAAGTTTATAACCCAAAGATCTCGGTTCCTTTCGATATTCGCGCATATCGGACCGTAACTTCCTGAATTATGGCCCCTGATTGTACGAAAAATTGCTTTCTTTTTAGCTTGTTCTCTATCCATCTCTCGAAAATGTGGGCTTATCCTGCCTGGCAGCCGCTGGTTATATCACTGTTACACCCTAAGGACGGCTGAGTTCGAATTTCGTGAAAACTGGCCCAAAGTTGACAGACAAAATGGCCGCTGTTCATTCTCATATAGCGTAAAAATATGGTATATCAAGGTTGTGGATCCTATAGAGGTCATAATTTTTATCCGATTTTGTTGAAACTTGAAATGTAAGTTAATAACCCAAAGATCTCGGTTCCTTTCTATATATGCGCACATCGGATAGTAACTTCCTGAATTTTGGCCCCTGATTGTAGGAAAAATCACTTTCCTTTTAGCTTGTTCTCTATCCATCTCTCGAAAATGTGGGCGTATCCTGCCTCGCAGCCGCTGGTTATCCGATTTTGTTGAAACTTGATATGTAAGTTTATAACCCAAAGATCTTGGTTCCTTTCGATATTCGCGCATATCGGACCGTAACGTCCTGAATTATGGCGCCTGATTTTACGAAAAATCGCTTACTTTTTAGCTTGTTCTCTATCCACCTCTCGAAAATGTGGGCGTATCCTGCCTGGTAGCCGCTGGTTTTATTTATGAACAGTTACTAGGGTATTACTACATGTTAAACAGTGTTTAATTTATACACTTTAAATTTAATGTAAACTAGTTATAATAAGCATTGTCTCAGATAGAAATTTGGCGGTGTTAAATAGCTCCCGCAAAAGATATGGCGAACACATCTTATCACTCCAGCTTGATTTTCAGATCTCGAGGCCTGAGATTTCACAAATTAAAAACATGCTACGTTTCGATACACATACAGATATTTGCTTGATAACAATATCTGTATGTGTATCAAAACGTAGCATGTTAATAAATTCAGAAGTAGTATATGGTTATATAAGTGTTTTTATACGCCCACATTTTCATGTGGACGTATATTGTCGTCGCCCCTGTCAGACCGGATGTCCGTCCACATTTGTTTGTGGACACTCTACAGGTTCTTTTCGATATTGCCATGTATTGGACCGTAACTTCATGGATTTTGGCCCCCGATTGTATGAAAAATCGCGTTTTTAGCTTGTGGACCCTATAGAGGTCACAATTTTCTTCTGTTTTTGATGAAACTTGAAATGTAAGTTTATAACCGAAAGATCTTGGTTCCTCTCAGTATTCGGGCATATCTGATAGTAACTTCCTGAACTATGGCCCCTGATTGTACGAAAAATCACGTTTTTAGCTTGAGGTCCCTCTAGATGTCACAACGATTTAAAAAAACATTCAAATATATCACTGTTACACCGTATTTGTGGTTGGGTTTGAATTTCATGAAAATCAGACCAAAACTGCCGGACAAAATGGACGCCACTCGTACACAATTTGTGTAAACATCTTGTATATTATCAAAGTTGTGGACCCTCTAGAGGTCACAATTTTAATCTGATTTTGATTAAACTTGAAATACATGTTTATAACCCAAAGATCTTGGATCCTTTTGATATTCGCGCATATCGGATCGTAACTTCCTGAATTATGGCCCTTGAATGTACAAAAAATCACGTTTTTAGCTTGCTGTCCATGAAGAGGTCACAATTTTTATCCTATTTAAAAAAAAATTGTGAATATATCATCATTACACACTAAAATCTTGGTTCCTTTTGATAATCGCGTATTAGTCCGGTAAAAAAAGGTCACAATTTTTATCCTATTTAAAAAAAAATTGTGAATATATCATCATTACACACTAAGATCTTGGTTCCTTTTGATAATTGCGTATTAGTCCGGTAAAAATAATAAATCACCTAGAACAAATTGCAACATAATTTTTCTCAACGGAATCTGGTAGAGGGGTCCCTGAAGGTCTCCCAAACCAAAATCTCAGGAATAGTTGAGTTTGGAGGGTGTAAATGTATTACGGGTAGATAGGAAAGTGGTACAGATGACTCAGAAAAACATAGCTAAAAGACGTTCCTGTGACGTCATACAGTCATAGGGCCAATAATTAGCATAAATCCAATATGGCCGCCATTGAAACTTAAAACTCCAATATCTCGGGAATGGCTGAGTTTGGAGGATGTAAATGTAAATGTATTACGAGTAGATAGGAAAGTGCTACCAAAAAACTAGAAAAACAATACTAAGTGACGTCATAAGTCATACGGCCAACAATTAGCATGAATCCAAAATAAAAAGATAGGTTTTCGATTTTATAGGGTGTAAATGTATTAGGGGTAGATATAAAAGTGGTACCAAAGAATAACAAAAAGCATAATCCATGACGTCCCTGTGACGTCATAACGTCATACGTCCAACAATTGGCATAAATCCAATATGGCTGCCATTGGGGAAACTTAAAACTGCAATATATCGGGAATAGTTGAGTTCAGAGGGCGTAAATGTGTTGCGGGTAGATAGGGAAGTGCTAGCAAAGAATCAGAAAAAACCTTGCTAAATCACGTCCATGTGACGTCATATCGCCATAGTCCAATCATTAGTATAAATCCAATATGGCCGCCTTTTGAAATCTTAAAACTCTAATATCTTGTGTATTATGGGCAGACAATGTGAAAAGACGTAATGATTAAACGAAGAAGTCAGACAATTCTTCGACAATGTTATGATAATTCACGAAATGGGGATTTGGAATTCGACCAGAAGAGATTTATCAAAACAGCAGCCACACTAATCTGCAGCAAGATTATTAAACAAAATCCATCACACATCTAAAAAAGTATTACCTGGACCAGAAACAAAGTTTTTGAGTGCATTGACTAGTGTTGAACAAAATCACATCAAAAGTTCATATACTCATAATTTCTTACTTATTTCAATGTTTATGAGTGTCTGTGTATGCCGAGTATGAAATCTTACTTTCGATTTGCAAATTGTTTGAGCAGCGAAGAAAAAAAACGTGCCTACCTTTAGCCGAAATTATTAAGACTATCCATGATATCCAAAAAAATCAACGAGGTGAATAAATTTGTGTATAACTACTCCTGTAATCCGCGGCCCTCCCACTTATCATTTTTGCTCAATCAACACGAATGAAAAAAGTAAAATAAAAACATCTAGCATTTATTCCGCCAAGGTCGTTTGCCTCATTCTGATAATCTACTGCTATTGAACCAATCAGTAAGTGAGAATATATACGTGACCTAGGTCGTTATGAATAAATTACATTGTGGGAAGGCTAAACACAGTGTTAACTTGTATCCCGTAAACCCAAGAAGTAGCTTCTATCTAGCGTAAACCAGCGCGAGGAATGAATGAATATTTTTTTTATTTAGACTACTGTTTTCGTTGCACTGCATTAATATTTTCATTAGTTACTATAGGTGTCACAGCTCCATTGCCCGCGTTGGAA